TCCTTCCAAGCAGCCACTGAACTGAGTGCTGAGATGGGGGTAATATCAGGCAGAGAATGTGGAAGGCTTTAATAATGACTATGATTATGTCCAGAAACAATATGGCAGGACAGCAGGAGGTTGGAAGCACCACTGAAACAGGTGACCAGGTCAGTCTGTTTAGAATTAGGGCTTCAATATGAGGTCCAAAAAGAAATCACAATCTCTGTACTTACCTGCTAAAACTAAAAATCCAGGAAAATATCCTTAACCTAAATGCTAAGGTTCTTTCAGCTATGCCTGAGTTTATATTCACACTAATTGCTTTCTGTTGTAACAGATAGGAAGATGGAAATTTTCCATCTTGCATTTCTAAAATCCAAATTCACAATTTGTTTAAAAAGTATTATTTGGACCAGATTTAGTGCCTATTCAAAAAAATATGTCTGGGTGGGGGATGTGAGTACCCATAAAATAATGACTGCATGGCTTTTATGAAAGGTATTTCATTGTCTATAATGCTTTCTGAAGCACAGATGTGAAAGACAAAATCCATTATTCATGCCTTTCTCCTCTTCATGCAGATATGACTGCATAATGAAAGTTGTCATTCTGCCATGGGCATAACTCTGAGCCCCTCAGTAATAATTGTTTTCTAGGATCCAAGGATTTATGTATGAAAATCATGTTCACAATGCAAACTTGGTCTGAAAAACAAGGCTCTTGTTTTTAAAGAAGCACTGCTGTATTACGAAGAGTATTATGTTGTTTATTGACATTTGTATCAGATGTGAATTAGGAAACTTAATTACAGAATGGTCCTAATTCTCTGTAAGTGTTTGAATCAATTTATATTTATTCATTTTAAAATTAGGTAGAGAAAATCTCTTATTTTCTTTCAGTTAGTCAAGAGCAATCATTCTCAGCTGAACAATGGGAAATGTGGAAACTATTATTCTGGTTAAGGACTCAGCTGATCAGATTTTAAAGTCTGTATTAAGCGTAGGCAAATATGAATTCACTGGCTTGTTGAAATAGTTGCTGTATGTTTTCATTTCATTATGTTTAGGAAACAGTTAAAAATATCATTTGATAGGCTAGCTTCTTTTTAATTGGCCATTGTTTTGAAGTTGCTGTTGTCTGGTAGAGTAGTATAGTCCAGGTGATGTTGTTATAGGAGCTGTCAGGTCAGCTCCAAGTCACAGAGGCCCTGTGTACAACAGAACAAAACACAGCCGGTCCTGAATCATCCTCATAATTGTTGCTACGTATGAACCCATTGTTTCAGCCACCGTGTCAGTCCATCTTGTTGAGTATCTTCCTCTCTTTCACTGACTCTTTACTTTACCAAGCGTGAAGTCCTTTTACAGAGACTAGTCCCTCCTGGTAACATGTCCAGAGTATGTGAGATGAAGTCTCACCATCCTTGCTTCTAAGGAATATTATGGCTGTACTCCTTCCAAGACAGATTTGTTCATTCTTCTGGCAGTTCATGGTATGTTCAGTATTCTTCGGCAACATAATAATTCAAATGCATCAGTTCTTCTAAACTTGTCCTTATTCATTGTGATGGATAAATAAATAGCTACTAATGTTGTTGTTGTTGTTATGTGCCGTCGAGTCGGCCCCGACTCATAGCAACCCCTCCTTGGGTTTCCGAGGGGGTATCACTATAGAAGTAGGATTGCCCAACCTTCCTTCTGAGGAGTGGCTGGTGGGTTTGAACCACCAGCCTTCTGGTTAGCAGTCAAGTGCCTTAGGCCTATGCTACCAGAACTCCTATAGCTACTAATAGCTTGGAGAAAACAGAATTCATCGTAGCATAGTGCCTAAGGCACTTGACTGCTAACCAGAAGGCTGGCGGTTCAAACCCACCAGCCACTCCTCGGAAGGAAGGTTGGGCAATCCTACTTCCCTAGTGATACTGCCTCGGAAACCCAAGGAGGGGTCGCTATGAGTCGGGTTTGACTCGACAGCACATAACAACAACAACAACAACAATGGGAGACATTATCAATGCAATTTTTATTATATGTCTAAGGCATTTTGGTATTTCCAACTTTAATGATTTAGGAAAATTCTAGATACTCTGGACACATTAGGAAAAGTAGGCAAAACTGGTCATTTGAACCACCATCAGTACCACGCAGTTACTTTGGAGATTAAGCCCAGATGTTAATTGAAAATAATAAGAGAAATAGCTTAACTTTATTTTGTAAATTATATGACTTTATTTAGGATACTAATATATTATTTATTCTTATAATAAAACAATATATACAGTTACCAATTAATGGTAGATGCTTTCCAAGGGGAAAAAACACCTTTTGGACATGTTCACTGAAGTGTACCCAGAACCATATAAATAATTCAAATTACTGAAATTCACTTTTCAAATCCATAACTATAGTAATAACAACAGCCCCCATCTCTTTCTCTGTTTTTCTCTTTCCCTTTCTCTTCTAATTGAAACAGAGATGGAATTATTAGATTAAAGACTTCCAATGTAATTTTAGTCACCAGGACTACCAAGCCTGGAATTATAGATTTGATAGCTGAAAAATAAGCCAGTTCAGTCTCTGCATTGTACAGATGAGATGCTTTTATCAAAAAATTACAGAATTAATCAGAGGAGGAGCCTCTATTACAAATGGACTCTTTTGCAATATGCACTCCAGGAATGCCCACTGAGCTAAATAAAGCATATACATTCTTCAGGAGTCTAGCTATGTCAGTAGAACCCTGGTTTTATGTTCTTGAGCGTTTGTTTTTTTGTTTTGTTTTAAAGTGGAATTTGCCTTCACCACTGACCAGTGAATATGCATCTGATAAACTGAACAAAAATAATTGTTTAATGGAACTGAACTGAAAAATAGAAATAAGAGACAGAGACTTCTCAGAATTGTAGAAAAGGAGACAATAGAGCCAGGATTGGGAAACAAGGATCCAGAATAAATGTCCTCTTTCACCCAGTGAATCAGGGACTGGGACACAATCCATGAGCACTAAATGGTTGCAGAAGGAAAGTAGTAGGAGGCACAAAAAAATTTAGGATACCACCAGGACTACCCCCGACACACACTTAGATAAAAGATTAGGTATAGTCTGAAAAGAACTGAGGACTACCTGACCTAGTTGTTGGTGTCAACAACTTTAAATCAGAATTAAGTCAAAGTATCTTAGCTAAACATCCACCATAGGACAGTTGCCTGGACTGATTCTCAAAACAAATACATGAACAATCCCAAGAGAACATCCAAGGAGGGAGTTTGTGAAGGCATCTATAAGAATAAAAACCTAGCATTATGATTAGACTAAGAGTACTATTGTTGTTGTTGTTAGGTGCCTTCGTTTTGGTTGTGACTCCTAGCCACCTTATATATAACAAAACAAAATGTGGCCTAGCCCTGCTCCATCTTAGTACTTGAAAGTGCTTTGTAGCTACTCCAGTGTTGCTGTTACTGTTGTTGTTAGGGGCCATTGAGTCAGCTCCGATTCATCGCTACAATTATTCCAGTGTAGTAAGTAAAATTAAATCTTTAAGTTCCAGAAATACTCTTGTCCTAGATACCTCCCAGTTCACCTGTGAGTATGTATGTTATCTAGAATGTTGTTGTTGTATGTAGAATGTATGTAGAATATATATGTTGTTGTTGATGTTGTTAGGTGTTATCAAGTCAGCTCTGACTCATAGCAATCCTATATACAACAGAACAAAACACTGCCTGGTCCTGTGTTATCCTCACAATCCATGCTATGCTTGAACCCATCATTGTAGCCACAGTGTCAATCCATCTCATTGAGGGTCTTCTCCTATTTCGTTGATCCTCTGCTTTACCAAGCATGATATCCTTCTCCGTGGGCTGGCCCCTTCTGTCGGCATGGCCAAAGTATTTGAGGGGAAGTCTGGCCATTCTCACTTCTGAGGAGTATTCTAGCTGTACTTCTTCAAAGATGGATTTGTTCAATGCGAGTAATTAAGAAGTGATTACTTTCTACTCAACAAAATTATATTATCATTTTTAGAATATAATAGGTAGAAATAAGCTATTTAAAAAAATCTATAAAGGTGCCACTCTAACCTCAATCACAGGCAGTCCCCAGGTTACAAATGAGTTCCCAAGTGTGTCTTTAAGTTGAATTTGTAGTTAATTTTAAACAGGTACATACAGTTCTTATTTAGCCTTTCTTTAGTGCAAGAAAGATGATCTTTTCACATGGGTCAAGAAGCAGCTCCCTTGAAATTAACCAAAGTAAGGATGGCCAATTTATTATTAATTCTACTAAATAATTTTTTCTCATGACTACAGACAGATAATGTTTAAAATTCAGGTCTTGTTTATGTAGGATGCAGAAGAAAAGTCAGCATGTTAGGATTCTTATTTTTACCATCCCAGTAGGGATATTCCAGGAGAAGGATGCTAGACATTGAGATGTATGTTCTAAGAATCTATGAAATAACAAAAAAGAAGAATCATCACTATAAACCTTATTATGATGCTTACTAGACCATCCTGTAGCCAGCAGTCTGAGAGCCCTTTCCCTCTGACTTTAGTCTGCCTTCTCCAGCAAAGATGTCACACTCTGGTCACAAACATGACCTATACCTTCAGAAGTCGCAGCCATAACTACTCACAGAAGTGATCCAATTGGGCTTGCATTGTTCCATAAAATTTCAAATCCATTAGTTCTCTTCTTTCCCTGAAGTCCTGTGGTAGTTTCTCCCGGACTTTCAGGATAGTTCGAATTCCTTGGCTTATACAAAACACCCTTTAGATCTAACCCTTGTCTTAGCATTTGTTGCATTCTACCAATCACAGGTTTCCCATGAGTCTCTCCTATTACATGGTGAACTCCCAAAGAGTAGGAAGTATACCAATGTTCATGTTAGTATCCCCAGTGCTTGGCCATAGAAGTTCTCAATAAGTATTGGTTGACTGGATAAATAGAAATGTCATGATACTGCTAAACCCTAACATGCTGTGTTTTTTTTGTTGTTTTGTTTTTTCCCCTTCCCTAAGGACTTTGGCATTATGTTCCTGCACCACCTTATATCTGTTTGCTTGATTTCTTTTTCATATGTCAACAATATGGCCCGAGCAGGGACCCTAGTCCTTTGTATTCATGATTCAGCTGATGCTCTTCTAGAGGTAAGAGTTTTGTCCTTAAGAGTACAAAATCCAAAACTGAGAACATTTCCAGGATCATCCTTTATTTCAGTCAGTGCTAGATAGATTAGGGCAGATGGTAAATGACTGCTTTGATACTGCAGTGTTTCTTGTTGGGTTAACTTAGTGAAAATGAGGTTTTCAATTACCATATAAATTTTCATACAAAAAGTGTTCATCATGTTAGCATCCTTTATTAAGAAAATGATGTAACCTTTCGCTTAACCACTCTTAAGGAATGAATCATTTATAGCAGGAAAATCATTATTTGAACAGGTATTGTTTCTGTTTTATAAGTTTCAGACTGATTTATCTGGAGAGTGTATATGACTCAGGCTATTAATTAATAGGAGCTGTATATCCTGATGAAATTAAGTGGTGGTTATAGTTTTACTTAAAGCCATTAAATTATAGCTTCTGAAAATAATGTCAACATCCTTTCAACTCTGACTTAGCTAATTTAACTTTCTAAGAAGCAGAAAATTATATTATGAATTCAGAGGACACCTTTAATTTACAATTATGTGATTGTGTGCAGTAAATTCTACACTGAAGTATAAAAAGTAGTGATCAAACAAAATGATGTTTTCAGCCTCATCTATTCTTACTTAAAAAAATTTATAAAATCATTTCTGCTCCTCTGGATGGTAGATACAGAGATGAGAGAGATATTTCTTCCCTAGACTAATTTATGATATAAAAGGTGGTCACTTAGATCACTATAGTAAATTATTAGCATACTTCTCACAGCTACTTTGAACATTAGTGACTTTTATCCAGAAAAATGAACCATTAATATAAGTTTGAAAATTATACCCAAATGGATTAGTTGAAATAACATGATCTTGACTCTATCTTTATTTTTAAGTTTATGAGAGTAAGCCGAAAACTATCTCCTCAAAGTCTACTCTGTGCCTATTTAACGAAAACTTATAATTCTAGTAAAAATGAGAAAAAAAATGCAGAAAGTCTCCATATATTCTATATAAAGTTTAGTGGCTTCAGTGTTTGGGCCTCATTAAAAGTTTAAAGGATTATCCAGCACCCTCTATGTTGGCTTATATGCCAAAGTTCTGTTTTGGTGTCTTTGCCTTGCTAATGTAATCTATAATGCAAGGATTTCTTCTTTCATCTACTTTCTGGAAATCAACCACATAATTGAATTTTTCATGTTGCTGAATATTTTATTATATCTATGACAGTCAGTAGTTCTACTTATGGCTAACGCTGCATTTCACTTGACTTATGGGTAATTTATAAATACTGTTGCATGATGCATGACATTTCAAAATAGCGGGCAATTTTATGCATCTTGTAAATTAGAACTTAGAGGGGCTTCGTGCATATTGAAAGAAACTTTTCATTTATCAGTTTGACTAAGTTAATACATCACATGCCTTACTTTCATAGGCTGCCAAAATGGCAAATTATGCCAAGTTTCAGAAAATTTGTGATCTACTATTTGTTATGTTTGCCATCGTTTTTATCACCACGCGGCTTGGTATATATCCTCTCTGGTGAGTATGCCAACCCTCTTTCTAAATAGGCTTTGGGAACCATATCTTTTGAACATCACTTGAAATACTTAGCAAGAGGTTTTAGGAAAGGGGATGAGGGACTCAAAAAACAATTTGATCATATCTTCCAGAAGAAAGTTTAATTCTTTCCTAATATTTTCCACAGGATAATTACCAAAGGGTATGGTTTACATTGGTTCTGAAGCCACAGAAAGCCATCTGCCAATTTAGACACTGGTCTAGAATATGACATAAGAACCTCAGCCATGAAAGTTTGAATTAAGAAAGGAAACATGATACATATATGTAATCATGTAATCAGGTACATATCAGAGATTCTCCTGAATCGGGGTTCTCAAAGACTTGTCCCTAGACCAGTGGTATCAGTGTCACCTGCGAAATTGTTAGAAATGCGAATTACTGGTTGCCACTTTAGACCTACTGAATGAGAAACTTGAGATGGAGCCTGGCCATCTGTGTTTGAGTAAGTCTTCCAGGTGACTCTCCTACATGATAAAGTTTGAGAACCACTGTCCTATATAATTCTTCACATTATCTGAGTCGGGTCCAACTTGATGGCACATAACAACGACAACAACATCTGTATTTACAGCTAAAGCAGATGGAAGGTCTGACTCAAAAATAACCTTGAAATTATCTGTCTTTTCTTTTGTTGAGAACTCAGAAAAAGATGTTACTGAGTTTGATGAAATTTGACAGACTTTTCTATAGAAAAGAGGTCATGCTATCCTTTATAATTTTTCTGGAGGACTATTACTTGAACTACAAAAGTATGCAGGGCACAAATGTTTTACACTTAATTGCTGACCTGAAGGTTAGCAGTTCCAACCCACCCTACTGGTGCTGCACAAGGCCTGGCAATCTGCCTGCATAAAGATGACAACCAAGGAAACTCTCTGAAGTAGTTGTGCTGTATGACACAGGGTCACCGTGAGTTAGAATCGACTTGATAGCAGTAGAGGTTCTTTGTTTGATTGATTATTTTTCTCTCTCTTAAACTCTACCATTGATGGCAGATTTTTTTTTTCCATTTTTAAAATTTTTTTGAATGAGAAGCCAAGGCAATGGAAATGGGAGAATGCAGAGATATGAAAAGAATTAAAAATACCTTCACTTTTACTCCCAATATAAAGTAACAATAGTATAGTTGCAGTTCTTAAGTGAATAGTGTCTATCACTGGGGCTCCATTAACAAATTACTAACACACACACAGGCAGCTTCTCTTTGAAACTTTCAGTCCTTTTGGACACTCACTTATTATGAAGATGTTTCCAGGCAACAGAGCTGTGTGTTGGTAACAGACATTTATAAAATCTCATTATCGTTGTATATGAATGTAAGTAGGAAACATGAAGTAATTTTGAATATAGTGTGTCTGTAATAATTACAGTTATTTCAGGGTTGGAACTCTTGCAGGATCGGAACTCTTTCAGGATTATTAGCAGAACTAGTGGTAAGAATTTAAATAAATGAAATTGAAGCTGTGTTTCAAAGGCATCACTATCAAGTACTTTGATTTGTTTTCCTTTCCATGATTGAGTTAAAAATGGGATGGAACTCTTCTCACTTCTTCCTAATATGTAAAAAGCTTTTGAGGTTTAGACAGTAGTTGTTACCTAGAACATAAAAATCCGTTGCTATAGGGTTGGTTCCAACTCACCACAACCCCATGTGTGTTAGAGGAGAACTGTGTTCCATGGGGTTCTCTTTTTATTTTTTAGCTATTTATTGTGATTTGAGTGAAAGTTTATAGAGCAAATTGGTTTTCTACTCTACTGTTCATACATGTTTCGTTTTGTGACATTGAATCCAGTCCCCACAATGTAACAGCACTCATCCCACTTCTTCCCTGTGGTTATCACTTAATTTTTTTTTTTTTTTTTTTCTAGCTATTCCTGCCTTACTAGCTTCATCCCTGGGCAAATGCCACCCTTTTGATCTTGTCTGGTCAATTGTTCTAAGGAGTGGCTACCTCCCTGATGTTAGTGTTCACCCCATAGACTAGGCTATTGTTTTGCTTAAAGTTGAGCCATGGGTGTGAGTTCGGTTCCAGGCTTTAACGGTGACTAAGGTTCATAGTCTCAGGGGTTCCACTAGTCTCTTTAAGACCAGTAAGCCTAGTCTTTTTTATGATTTTGAGTTTTGTTTCACATTTTTCTCCCACTCTGTCCAGGACTTCTTATTGTGATTCCTGTCAGAGTGGCAAGCAGTAATAGCCAGATACCATGCAATTATTCTGGTCTCAGGGTCATGGAGGCTGAAGTTCACATAGTCCACTAGTTTCTTAGACTGATTATTTCTGTGCCTCTTTGATTTTATTCACTCTTCTTTGCTCCAGATGAGGATGGCCCAATAGTTGTACCCTAAATGGCTGCTTATAAGCTTTTAAGACCCCAGTCACTACTCACCACTAGTGACTACATCCGTCTACATCCCAATAGGATGTGGAACATTGTCTCTGTGGACTATATTATGCCAGTGGATCTTGATGTTCCCTGTGACTATGGTCTTGAGCCTCCAGGTCCAGCAATTCTTTCTCTCAGGGTGTTTTGTTATAGCTAATAAGTTTTCATAATTTTCTCCCATTTGCTGTACTATATACGTGGACATTTTTACAGCACATGCAAATAACTTATATAAAAATATCAATGGCCAAATCTGTATATGGTCATGGGTATAGTTCCGTTCACCTACAAATACCTGATCATTTTGCCTGTCTCCAAAGGTATCCGTTCATAGATTACCATTTGTTATATTGACTGTGCAAGATTGGGTATGTAATAGTATTTATCTTTGCTGTCTGTAGTTCTCGTGTACCTCTCTGTGTCTTCCTTTTCCTTAGTGATATTGTGCTAGTCACCCCCTTTTTGTATATTGCCTTTCCCTTTACCCAGTGTCTGTTTAATATTAAATAGTGATTTTCCATCCCCTCCCCTTCTATCTCAGTTAGCCATAAAAGACTGTTTCTTTCCATGTATAAACCTTCCCTTGACTTTTTATAGTAATGGACTCATACAGTATCTGTCCTTTTGTTTTCAACTTATTTCCCTCAGAATAATGTCCTCAGGTTCATCCGTGTATGAGGTGTTTTGCAGATTCTTCATTATTCTTTAACATTGCATAGTATTCCCTTGTATGTAAGTACCATAGTATGTTTATCCATTCACCCACTTATGGGTACTTAGGTTGTTTCCATCTCTTTGCTATTGTGAATACTGCTACAATGAACATGGATGTGCATATATCTATTCATGTCCCATCTCTCATTTCTTTAGGACACACCTAGAAATAGGATTACTGGGCCAAATGGTATTTCTATTTCCAACTTCTTAAGGAAGCACCACACCATTTTTCACAGTGGCTGTACCATTTTACAGTCCCATCAGCAGTGTATGAGAGTTCTAATCTCTGCATTGGTTATTTTCCATCTTGTTGAATTTTGCTATCGGTGCTGGGGTGAGATGATTGTTATCTCATTGTTGTTTTGATTTACATCTCTCTAATAGTTGTTGTTGGACAATCTACTTCCGTAGTGATACCACCTCAGAAACTCATGAAGGGGTCGCTATGAGTCGGATCTGACTCCATGGCAGTGTGTTGCGTTGTTGCGTTGCAATGGCTGTTGTGAGCATTTCTTCATGTGTTTTTTGGCCACCTGAAAGTCTTCTTTAGTGAAGTGTCTGTTCATGTCCTTCGCCCATGTTTTAATTGGATTGTTTATTCTTTTGTTGAGATGTTAAAATTGTCTATCAATTTTAGAAATAAGTTGCTTGTCAAATACGTTATTGTCAAATATTTTTCCCCTGTCTGTAAATTCTCTTTATACTCTTTTGGAGAATCTTTTGATGTGCATAAGTATTTAATTTTTAGAAAGTCCCAGGCATCTAGATTATCTTCTGCTGTTTGTGTATTTTTAGTTATGTTTGATAGTCTGTGTATGCCATATCTTAGGGTCCCTAAGTTTGCCACTAGTTTTTCTTTGATGAACTTTATAGTGTTAGGTTTATATTTTGGTCTTTGATCCATCTTGAGTTAGTTTTTGTATATGATTATAAATGGATCTTGTTTCATTGTTCTTCAAAATGGATATCCACTTTTGCCAGCACCATTTGTTAAAGAGGCTGTCATTTCCCCTTTTAATGGATTTCTGCCCTTTGTCAAATGTCAGATGTCCATAGATGGATGGATCTACTTCTGGGTTCTTAATTCTGTTCCATTGGTCTCTCTGTCTGTTGTTGTACCGATACCAGGCTGTTTTGACTACCATAGCTGCATAGTAGGTTTTGAGATTTGGAAATGTGAGACTTCCTGTTTTGTTCTTCTTCAATACTGCTTTGCTTATCTGAGTTCTCTTTCATTCCATATAAATGTAGTGATTGGTTTTCCATTTCCTTAAGGAATGTTGATAGACTCTGTGTTGGAATTAAATTATGTCTATAGATAGCTTTGGGTCATATTGACATTTTCACAATGTTAAGTCTTCTTATCCAAGAGCATGGTATAGTCTTCCATTTATACAGGTTTCTTTTACTTTCTTATAGTAGTGATTTGTATTTTTCTTTGTATAAAGTCTTTTGTATCTCTGATTAGGCTTATTCCTAAGTGTTTTGTATTTATGGTAGCTATTGTAAATGGTATTGTTTTCCATATTTCCTTTTCATAGTTCTCTTTGTTAGTGTAGAGGAATCTGACTGATTTTTGTATGTTGATCTTGTACTCTGCCACTTTGCTGAATCTTTCAATTAGTTCTAATAGTTTTCTTGCTGAGTCTCTGGGATTTTCTATGTATAATATTATGTCATCTGCAAATACATACAGTTTTACATCTTCCTTAACAATTTGAATGCCTTTTATTTCCCTTTTTTGCCTTATTTTCCTGGCTAGAACTTTCAGTACAATGTTGGGTAGAAGTGGTGATGGAGGACACCCTTGTCTGTTTCCTGTTTGCAAGGGGCATGTTTTCAGTCATTCTCCATTG